GTAATCTGGTATAAAAGGGTATAATACCATACGATCGAAACAAACGGCGTCAGAGGTGGCTTGGAAATGAAGATAGCTGTTATTTTGTACGTAAAATTATATGGGGAATGTCATCGATCGTAATTTTCAAGCCAATTGAACGCCGTCTTTTTTCGATGGTACAGTATAAATTGAAAGCTCTTAACTCATACAAATAAACTTCTAAATTTTGACGCAAAATTCATTGCTATAATATGTAGGTATATTTTAGAGCTGTTAATAAAAATATCCAATGAATAACGTCAAAATGTGGCTAAATAAAACTAAATCGCGAACGTTTTTACTATAAACTAAGGATGAAGTAAGTATTGTCAAATAACAGTCCTCATATAATGTCCTAAAAATATTTTATAATGCTCCCAACATCATCCTTGTATTATCCTAGAAATATCCCAAATAAAGGCTTGCCTAGGGATGTCTTGAAGATGACTTTTTTTGTCCCACTTGGATATCCCATAAATATCCTCCTCTGGTTTTTGGATATCCCTAAGATATTTACTATATCCTTGGTGGATATCCTCAAGATATCTATAGGATTGTGTTGTGTTATATGGGTTAAGAGCTCAAATTTTACCAAATTTTTTTTTCATCATCGTGAACGATATTTTCTAGGTAATTAAAAAAACAAAAATTATTATTATTTTTTTGATGCACACTACTGTGTCACCCTGTATGAATCTTCTACCTGCGTCAGATAAAGCAATTTTAAAAATCACATTCTTAGCGTGGCATCGTTTTTATATCGGCCCAAACCAAACAAGACGGATCGTTTCCTACAAACGGAAACCATTAGATCAGACACCGTCGGCTTAAAACCAAAAACGTGTAAAATATTTCCAGATTAGTGTGCGAATCGGTATCGGCACGACCGACTGCTGTTTCTCTCTCACTCACAGCCTCCCTGATTTTATTAGCGCTGCTTAACGTCACGCCTAAATGGCCGACGACAGGCCACTTAAGTTTACGCGTTTTCGAATTGTCAAAGAACCGATACCGCCAGCGCCGAGCGGTGTCAAACGACAGCCAGAGGAAGCCCTTGTCAAAATATAAAGGGTACTCGAACGCGCTACTTTACTACATCCGGCAAAAACACGTATCTGTTATAGTCCAAGAGCCGGGGACACTACAGAATTCCGTTTTCATCCTTTCGAGGTGGAAAAATGCACCAAATGGTGCCAAAATGATACAAAATCAAATGCATCAAATTCGCCTTTATTTCAGAAACCAACGGTGCTTGTACCTACAGGGTGGGTCAAATTGGACGCTTTTATAAAGGGAAACACCCCTTTCTATAGGAGATAGGCGAAAACCTATGTGTGGCGTATGAGGTGTCTAGAGCTCAATTTTTGTCAAAAACATGATGGTGAAAACCGCATATCGATATCTGTTACCGTTTCGGAGTTACGGGGTGTTTTTCAAAAATGTGCATTTTAAACAAATCGCTGTAACTTTTTTGCTATGAAAAATTTTGTATTTTTATGAAAACATTTCCAAAGCACATTTTTACGTAGAATTTAATGGTTTAAGTATAATTGATTTAAAATTAATAATTTAAGAATTATCAACAGAAAATTTGATTTTTTATATGGGACACCCTGGATATTTTTAATTTATTAAAAAGAATTTTAAATTACCTTTCCAAAAATATAGGACACTTGATATTTTGCTCGATTCCTCTTCGAGATATAGAGTTTATAAAAATTCGTCCACTTTAAATAAGTAGGCTTTGAACGGCGCCGGCTGTAATGCAAAAACATTCTAGCTGTGAGCATCAATAATTAAAACGAAAATAATATTTGCAATGAGAGATGCATAATTTTATAGCAATTTAAACTATATTTAACCAACATCAACACATTTAAACTATATCTAATAACAATAAAAATAAATAACAAACTAAGACATGAGATTTGTTCGACATGTCGGCCGTTTTTGAACATTTCTCGCGGAATTCATTAACTTAGTAGGGGTGAAAGCTGCCCTCGCATAACTGCTAAGTATTTCTAATTTTTGTCTAGATTATACGGGCAATAATTTAAAAATAAGAACCTTATTCTTCCGCAAAGATATCAATAGGATTAGATCCATAGGCTCAAGTCCGGCGGTCTCGACTGCCAACGGCTGGGATCTTGGTTAGCTATTCAGTTATTCTTGAAATTGGCTGCAAAAATTTGTTGATAACTTCAACGTTCTGAGGCAGTGCCTTGTCTTGCTGGAAAAATATGTTTTCGAGTTCCATTAGGGGCATATCATCAATAAGGGGTCCAAAGCCTACTAGTTAAAAGTGGCGAACTTTTAAAAATTCTGTATTTCGAAGGGGATTATAACAAAATATCAAGTGTGTTATATTTTTGGAAAGGTTAAAACACCCCTTAACTCCGATGCAGTAACAGATATCGATGTGCGGTTTTCACCATCATGTTTTTGATAAAAATTTAGCTCCAGACACCGATATTAGTTTTCGTCTATCTCCTATAGAAAAGGGTGTTTCCCTTTAAAAGCGTTGAATTTGACCCACCCTGTACAAATCTCTGTGTAGTTCTTCAGTTTAATCAATCATCTTTAGTTTTATAAAAAAAGTAGTAAAGTAACATTACTTATTGTATCTCTAAGTATTCATAAACAAAAAAAACATAAAACTCAATAAAATGGGACACCCTATACATATGAAAATTTTTGCTCAAAATTTTCTTATCTATATATTAAGAGCTCAAATAATATTATTGTATTATCTTCTAATTGGACTGACTAGCCAAAGTGTACACTCGTACACTCCTATCAAACACAAATCATTTCTCTCTAAAATATTCCTTCCTATATCTTCTTCCTTGCTGGCAAGAGGACCGTCTGTTTGACAAGGCGAACGTCACTTAAGAGAGTCGATTTATCGTGTTTATAAAAAGGACCCGTGAAATATTTTGACGGAACTTTTAAAATAAAACCCGCGTTAGAGCGTTCGTTGGTGTCTGACTGAAGTTTCTTCTTTTAGGAAGAATACAGGGTTGTGCTTTTGCTAAACTAAGTAATTTTTTCCACATATTGTTAATATTGTTTTGTTGTGCATTTAATTATGCTTGATTAATTTCATGGAAATTAACCAATGGATTTTCGTGGAAAATATCCTTGTACCTTTTGAGTCGTTAACCCGGTTTCCTATTACCGTCTACAACTTTGTCTACAAGCTCACCATAAAGAAGGTAGCAAAATAAAAACACTAAATCACCACAATACACCAAAACACTTTTACTTTTACACTGGACGCGCGTTTCGCTAACCATGTAGCATCATCAGCAGATGATTATAAACTAAAATACAATCTACAATTGGGGCGTTTATATACTCGCTCAGTGGGCACAGAGTGGGCGTGGCAAGATCTAGCCAACCGAGTCAGAACCCACCAAGCGTAACAGTTAGATTTCCGCCACTAGAGTAGTAGGAACAAAGAACTTGAAGGAATTGGACCGTTGTCTCTATTCATACTATCTTTACATTTATTAATTCTGATGCTTTCATCAGAATTGCATCTAATTGCCTGTAATTTGAGACTTGTTTAAGTAATTTTAAGTTATTAAGATCTATACAATGTTCTTTATCAACAATATGTTCGGCAACGCAAGATTTATCAGGTCTACCATATCTTATCTCAGCTAAATGTTCTTTAAATCTAGTTAATATTGATCTTCTAGTTTGCCCAACATATTTCTGATTACAATCTTTACAAGTAATTTCATAAATACCCGACCTTTCCAGTAGAGGTGTTTTACCCTTTGGATTACCTAATAATTGTTGTAATTTATTATTAGCACTATACACAAGTTTATAATTGACATTCTTAAAAATTCCTTTTAGACCACTGGATAACTGTCTATCAAACGGTATTGAAAAATATTTTGACGTATCTTTCTCCACTTGAAAAGTCGAATTTTCAGAAATTGTTAACCTATACCTACGTTTTCTAATTATTTTATCAACTAGTGAAGGAGAATATCCATTACACTCAGCTACATTCCTAATGTAATCTGCTGAGGCGCTGCTAATTCTGTGCTGAATTATAGAGTCGATATTGGTATTTTCCGATACACAACTCTATCCACCACTACTTTACGTGAGCTGCTTTTTGAAAACGCCTATAAAAAGGAGAGCTATAACTTTTTCAGAGACGCGTCTCATCTCCATTCCAGAAGCGCGACATCGATGCTGTTAAATTTATTGGTATCTAATGCGGTTTGATAGGGGGCCATAAAATGTATTTTCGTCACCGGCTCGACAGCCAGTAACAGCCTGTAAATTCATCCACTCGATTAATAAACTTTACGCGCTTGCATACGATAGTTAACCAATGCAATTAAAGATAAAAATAAATGCTCGTATAGCTTTAAGCGTTTTTACGAAGCTACTAAATCAGATTGAGTATATATTTCTCGATTTTCATATTTTCCATTTCAATATTTAGAAGCAAACTATATTAAGTCACAACAAATATTAATTTAAAGTCCTTTTTTCAAGTTATTTCCTAATTACTCGGTTATTTTTAAACCTACGATTGTATAAAGCCGAGTCTAGACCAAGCAGACGAAACAGTGACAAGACATATAAATATTCATATTTTAGACAAAGTTGCGACAAATCCAATACATTTCTGCGACATTTTTGTCCCATTTTTGTTTTGTTTCCAAATTCGGAGACTTTTGAATGTCACGTCTCGAGTCGGTAAAGTTCAAAGAGTCTCTGTTTTGTCGTGTATTTTACAAGTTGTCGGTGCAGTGTGGATGTCGTGCGTTGCTAAAAGTGGGAAACTAATGGAATCACACAAATTTAGTACTGTGAAGTGCTGGTACTGTTAATATACAGGGTGGTCCGAACTGATAACTTAAATACATTTAAGTTTTTTATTTATCGAAACAGTTTATTTTGTTATATTTTAAGATTACTTTAACTAACATTTTTCTTTTTTCTTTCAGATTTTGTATCCTTTGCTGCGTCAACTTCAAGCCTGGACTGCCTCAGTCTGATTGTGCAAAATATCACGACGAAAAAAGGGAAAACTAACGATATTATTAGAACCTGATCATTTGCTCAATATTTTTTATATGGAAAACATCAATAAGGCGGGTTCCCATCTATTAGTCTCACTGACACAGTCTGACTGATTCAGTAGTGTTACTCAACGAAAAATGAACGTCCGAACACGTTTTCAGTGAAACTGATAGTATATTCATACTACCTGAAAAAATGAAAGTATGAACATCTATCTAATAAGTATCTATTTTTGTTATTTTTTTTAGAATCAGTTAAACTGCGTCAATGAGACTGACCTGTGAGAACCCTTAAGCAACAAACGCACAAATATTATTAATTAACTTATTTTAAAGTAATTATATACTACCTGATCGATACCAATATACATGTAGTACAAGTACAAATCATTAAATTACATTGGTATTTTAATATAATTTAATTTTACTATACCCTATTTATCTAATAATAGGTAGGTATGTACATAATAAATTAACAAAAGCATTCAAAAATGTAGCATTTCTAATTAAAAAATGAAATAAACATTTTAATATGATAGTACAAGATGATTGAAAAAAAAACGGCATCAGAGATGGCTGCGAAATGAAGATCGCTGTCATTTTATATGTAAAATTATATGGGAAGTACCTATCACATCGAACGTCATTTCCAAGCCAACTGGGCGCCGTTTTTTTTTCGATCATACGGTATAATAATCTAATAAAAAATAAAATATTTTCGATGTTTTTTAATATATACCAAGGGCTATCATAAAATAAAATGAATTCAAGTGTAATATTAATACCATTGGTAACCGTGCGTAACGTTGGCTTAACGTGCGTAAATTACGATTATGTCTTAGCTAAGTATAGAATTCGCATTGTAAAAGCAAAAAATATTACCTACTAATGGCTATACAGGGTGAGTCTTAATAAATAAGTGCGAATATTTTTAGGGGTAGTATAATTTTGACCCCAGAAAAATTTGGAATTTTTTGACAAATTTGTTGGATTTTTTTTAGTTTTAAGTTAAAAAACATTGATAATATGACAACATAGGTAGTAGATTAAGTTTACAAGAAAGAAAATCCAGAAAAAATACAGTGGTTTCAAAATTTAAGCAAAAAATCATTGTTTTTTTTGAAACTTTCAAAGTAAATAACTCCATTATTTGGGAGTTATTTGAAAAACGGTAAAGAGAAAATATGTTTTTTTCATCCAGATCTACCAGCCCTGAAAATATTTTTATTCACCCTGTACAAATCATTTTATTAAACTTTTTAAATTTATTACAGTGCTGCCATCTAATTTTCAAATTCTAATTTTATTCAATGTTAAAACAGATTCCTATAAATTTATTTTTACCACAGATGATTCTGAAGAATTATTAATATTTTCATATATAAAAATCAATGTTATTTATATATGTATGTAGCAAGTGCCAGAGTTTTGAGAAGAAGTCATTGGCAATACCTGTGATACAGCCGGCCGGATAGCCCTGGCAGCTGTGGCCATTAAACTAATGAACTACTACTACTAACCTCAAAAGTATTTTTTAACCCTATTTTCCTTACTTTGTAATCTTTGTAAGCAATCTTTTATGGTACAAAAACATTTAGTTTTATTATACCAGTATGGCTGAAAGTATTATTGAACTGTTAAGCAAAAGAACGGAGTTTTTAAACCTTCTTGACCAGGATATCGATAAAAACAGTGCATTAACCGAAGACATTCAGAAAAAAATAGAATCTCTGGAAGAAACAAAACGAAATATAACAGAACTCGGAAAAGAACCAGAGCATTTTGCCCTTATACCACTTTGCAAGAGATTATTTATGCCAGGACAAATAGTTCATACTGGGGAATATCTTATAAGATACGATGCCCACCCATATAGTTACTCAGCTTTGAGAACCAAGGATCAAACAATCAAACACTTGGACGCTCAAATTAATTCACAACAGGAGTTACTGAAAAAATCTGAATTATCCGTTTTTCAGTTGGAGGAAAGAAAGAAGATTTTAATAGGACAGAACAATGAAGATTTCATATCGGGACAAGTACTAGAAGATGCAGAATATGAAAGTATATCAATGGAAGTTGCTAATATGCCTAAGGAGATACAATCAGACAAAGGTGTAGCTGTAAAGGTTGGGAATTACTATGAAATATTTGAATATGAAGAAAATTGATATTAGTTCTAAGTACTTTTGATAATATGTTGAATTTACTGTGATATATTGTAATAATAAGGTTTAAAATTAAACAAAACTACATAATATAAAATATATTTATATATAAAAAAGTACAATGGACGGATTCCTTAAAGATCACTAAGCCTTACAATACAAGAAGTCGATAATATAAAAATGCAACTTAAGCTTCTAAATTTGCCATTCAGTGCAATGCTACAAATTTAAACGTGTGGAGTTTACAAAGATATTACAAATCTCAAAGCATAATAATAAACGTTACTTTTAAAAATGAGATTCTTCAATAAACAGGCCCTCTAGAAGACCCAGCTTCCAGAGTGGTAGCCTGCGAATACTGGGCCCCACTCAAGCTAGATAAATCTGTGTATTTACTAGCACTGCTTGGCAGTTCAGTGACGAAAGATGAGGACTGACTTGGCACATCGATGATTGCTATGGGGGCGCAGCCTGAAGGCGTCTTGACAGTGGTAGACTTGGTGGTTACGCTACTGGCATCGTCGACACGGTGCTGTGAGGCGTGGTAGGCCGGGAGCCCGCTAGAGACGGGACTGTGGAAGCGTTGAGAGATTGCATGGTGCCCATCTGTCAAAAATTATTTCAAATTAAGGTTACGGTATTTATATTAAACAGTATTAACGAAGAGAGAGTAAGACATGCACAAAGATATATGAGTTGTTTCTTAATTTCCCTGGCTTCGACACACAATACAATGAAAAAATATACATTCTTACCAAGATGAAAACCTCCAAATGGCTAAGTATGTGGGCAAGAGAAAAATAATGAACATGAGAAATAAATTAGGTGTGGATCTACTACTACATGAATTATGCCTTTTCTGTATCAAATAATTTTTATAAATAAATAAATAATACAAAAAAGTTAATCTGTTTTAAAAATATACATACTCCTTTGCAGTTCCTAAGTAAACCAGTAAACATTTGATAAAAAAACATTGTTAAAATGCCAAAAGAACCAAATAAGATAATGCTTACCCTTAAATGAGCCAAGTCTTCTAATTTTGTTAAATCAGACAATTCAATGTATAAAGAATACACCAGAACCCAGCCGTAAACAGAACATACAATAAAGACAGTCCACAAAAGACACATTAAGACATTGTATGCAAAGATCATGTCGTTGACTATGGAGAAAAACAAATAAGCTAAAAATCTGAACATTGTAAACACGGCAAAAGCGTAAATCCAGGGTAGCATTTTCTTTTCATATTCCTAAAACAAATATTAATGAATACTATACATGAAGCAATTTTACTTTGAGCATAATACCTTTCTTAAGGAGATAATTAACATTATGCTTGTAACAAAGACAACTAAGGCTAGGAGAATTGAGAAGACAGCAAACATAACTAAAGCATTCCGAACTAAAAATAAAACAGTTAATGGTATAAATAAATTTTACATTTTTTGTATTGTATTATTTACCATGCCGAGACCCAACATAAACAAACTGGTATGATATAACATAATAGCCGTAATGGGTACTTCCAGGAGCTGCCATTGCATAGCAATATAAGTCAAAGCATGATGTTATAACAGTAAACATTGATAATATCTACAAATAAAAATTAAAAAGTATAAATATGATGTAAGAAACTTTTAGAGAAATCTACAATTACAAACTAGAACAAACGTCTTATCTAAATAAAGTCCTATGAAAGTAAAATGATACTAAGTAACTTACCAATGAAAAAATTGCAGTCACCATCGAAGCTCTTTGGACATCAAGAAAGAAGGCATCTTGCACGAGAGGTTTTTTATACCAAGGTGTTTGCAGCGATTTCAAACTTCTAGTGCTTCGTAAATTTGCACTGCTTCTTGTAGTAACGTGGGAGTACACACTTGGAGTACCAGAAATGGATCGACCCATGTTTTAGTTTGGTACTTTCAAACTTGTAACAGAAATAGAGCAATATCTAGTATTTTTGATAATTATTATGAAGATCAAATCATTTTTTAGTTACATGAACGAATGTAGTAGCTTTACGTATTTATATATAACATAAAATCTAATAAATTTTAATTTACGTTGGTTTATAAACACAGAAACAACAAAAAATATAAACAAGAAAACAAGTCACAAAAGTAAGGTGTGGTTTATTGTCATCATATATTTTTGAATGTCGTGATTCGTCGTCATATAGCCGAATAGCCCTGGCAGCTCAGGCCATAAAGCTAAACTACTAATATCGTCATATACTTACTTCATCTTATATCTTGGTCTAAAAGTCGTCGCCTAAAACAAAATATGAATGTTTTTAGAGAAAAGTAACTGATTATTGGTGTAATTATATAATATCCTTGTTAATATATTCCTACCTAAACGCAATATTATAATCATATATCAAAATTTAGTCATAATCATATCCAGTGCAAACGCCTCATCTCTAATCATTCACTGACGTGTATTTTTGATTTTGACAAGCGTTTGACAGGCGAAAATCATCTGTCAGTTCATTTTTTTAATTAAAATTGTCATGAGTGAAACTGTTTTAAGTTTTTAATTAAAACTCGATAAAGGTAAGTGGAATATATGTAATTTTCTACTTTAATACTCCTAAATATAGCCATTTTCTTGGTTTCCCTTAATTTTGATTATAACCAACACATTGGTCGTGCAAAATCATTGTTAAATACGTCTCTCTAATTTAATTTGTGGAATGAGATAGTATTGTTATTAATTTATCTGTATTCTTCTTTGTTATTATATTAATAAGTTTCGTTATAATTGCTTTAAGATAATAAAACACAAAAATTGCGTGATACCTTTCTAGTAGTGTTTCCTTTGTGTTTAAAAAATATTGCCAAAGACCTTAACAAATATCACCTGACTTTATGTAACGTAACTTTTAGTTTTTATTATAATTCTACTTAAATTTTTATTACAATTTTAATAACAGTACGTTGTGATAAGAAACTAGTAAAGGTTACTTGAAATCTAACTATTTTTTTCATTTAACTATATTATTCTTTAATCTACTTTGTATTTAATCTAATTATAATTTGTTGGTTTTAAGTAGTTATCAATGAATTTTATCTATTTTGGTTTTCACAGAAAACTTGAGAAGTGCTTTAAAAATGTTGCAATTGTTAGAAACATTATAACAAATAGATATATCTAGAAAATTTTAAGTAATAATTATGAACTATATGAGCTACCTGCTACCTGTGTGTAATTTAAAATTTTGTATGAGGCAATACTTTCACCTGTATTTTTTCTCAAAGCTGGCAGTTTTTATAATAATGAAAATTATAGATATTTGCATAATTATTTACTTTGAAGTTGAGTATAATGGCTTATGTTAAACTTTAAAGGTTTTGTACCTACAGTTTATATTAATAATGTTTGTTATATTCACACTTGAGATGATATAGGTATTAGGTTTAAATAAATATTAACAAGATTTTTTGTTTTGTTTAAACAAATAAGTTTGTTTAAGCTTACGAATTTACTTAAAACAGAAAAAAATTAGAACATCTTGAACATAGTGATGTAACGAATATCAATTTTTAAATATTAGTGAATATGAATGCTAATATCTTGCGCTAGTATTCATGAATGCTAATATTAATTTGTTATTGAAAATACTATATTAAAACATATATCTAAATGTCAAAATTAAAATACAATGTTTTTAAACTATTCCAACTGTTATTAATCCTTATATTAAAAAAAAAACTAACAAACCGATTCCCGTAGATCTAACTAACACTTCGGCGTCGACTAACTTAGCCGATCCCACTTCTGATGCGCTGTTAATCGCGCACGTTACTATGCCGGCGAAAAAACGCCGTACCAATAGCCAAACTCTTCCCGAACCAAAGCAAGCCAAAGAATTGCGCTTAGTTGCACCATCAACGCCCAAATCCAAGTCATTGGACGAACTGCTTAGCCTGACTAAGGAACAATTAAAGGCGGAGTGTCGCAAAAGGGGACAGAAGTCCACTGGGAACAAGCAGGAGTTGGTAGGGTACTCATTGGTCTAAAAAAGTCTCACTTTGCAATTTTTTTCGTTTATGTAGTTTTTTATTTAATGTCAAATTATTATAAATGGCATCTGAAGGGTACAGGGGAAACATGTTAAGCGCCAGTTTCTTAGTTCACTAGGGTTTTGCAATATTACAGTAGGTCTGACTGGTCCATACAAAATGTATAAACTCTGCAGGGCAATAAGTTGTTAAATGATATACAGGGTGTCCCAGGCTGAGCGTGCATTGGAAGTTTCTAGAGTTCTACAATACTTTGCAGATCATTGTTTCACAACGAGATCTATCGATTAAAAATATGTTCAATATGGCGGCACTTCCGGAAATACCGTAAATTGACAGGAACTTTCTTATTTTAAATGGGTACCCCCATTTTTTATTACATAATTAAATTCTCTCTAAAATTTTATGAATTTTGATATTAAACACCCTGTATCTAACTTTAACCGTTTTTGAGAAGAAAAATATTTAAAATTTTTGGACGAAAAAAACTGCCTGTCAAAAAAATCTGTATTGCCTAAAAGTCAAATTTAGTGATTACCACAGCCACTGTGACAAAGAGAACACATGTGGCTATCTATTTAAAAAATTAAATTGTTCGAATGTTATATAATAAATAATGGCGGTAGCTGTCATGGAATTGAGTGATTAAAAAATTATCATAAATAACTTAAAACCGATTTATTTTAGGTATAGGAACATGTATAGTTAAAAAGAAACGAATTAAAAAACCTTTTTATTTCTCTAAAAAAAGGTGGGTTTTCATTTGAAAAAAATGATTTATGATAATTTTTTAATCGCTCAATTCCATGACACTTGCGGCCATTATTATATACAGGGTTGTTCACCACATACGACAGGGAGTATTGTAGCTAAACGATTAGATTTTTACAAATTGTAAGTTTTGGGTTCGTTGAAGGACTATTAGAGCTACAATTTAAAAATATTTATACAAGATACAGAGTGTCCCAAATAAATAAAAAATATCAAAGTTGTATTTTTTTAAATGGAACACCCTGTATATTATTGCATTTTTAGTTTCTACGATTAAAATAAAGGTAAATTTGATTAAGGTTTATTACACTTAAACCTTACCGTTTTTGAAATATTTTCAATTTTGTGAAATTGCAGTATAAATTTTAAGGCTTCGTTTCTCCGAGGATATCGAATTTTTTAATACTAAATATTTACTAAAGTTTATTTATTGATCAGTTATTGTGTTGCAATAGTAAAAATTATACTACCTTATACAGAGTGTCTAAAAATTTATTTTAAATAATTACTAGCTCTAAACGGCAATAACTTATTTACTTTAAATAGAACACCCTGTATATTTTATGAGAAACAGATGCACAATTTAATTGTCTATCAAATTGTATTATACCACTTCTTACCTATCTCTTTAAGTTTCCGTAGAAAATGCATTTTCTTATAATTTAGACCTCATTTATCATTGTTTTTAAAACAACAAATGTATAAAATGTACAGGCTAGTAATATTATCGTTTTTAGTAAAACGATAATATTACTAGCCCATTTCTATGCAAAAAGAAAACCATTTAAATCTTTATAAAAGAGTATACCATTAATTAAATATACCACCAGTATTTCCGCCCAAATACTAATTAACTACATACTTAATTGTGTTCGTTAATAAATTATTCTAAATAAGTGTGGATTTGAATCAGAAATCAATGTAATAATAAGTTATGAAAATGAACGTCTCTGTTGTTATAAATAAGAATTTGTCAAAAAATTAAATATCATTTTTAAGGTGTTACTTTTTACCACACTGTCTAATACACATACATAATTCAGTTTTTTAGTATTTGGAGCAATTATTATTAATCAACGCAAACAGTCAATTAATGTAATTTGAATACTGGAATCATATTAATAGGTCCTCTTTAACAAATATTTAAACAGTTTTTTTTATTTTTTAATGAAATAAACGAACTATATCGACAATATTAGTATCTGTACTCTTTAAAAATTTGATATATCTGTAAAAAGAATCTAAAATGTCAGTATTCCATTGGTATATTGATAAATGAGTTCCAAATTACAAGAAAATGCATTTTCTACGGAAACTTGAAGAGATAGGTAAATAACGGTATAATACAATTTGATAGACAGTTAAATTGTGCATCTGATTCTCATAAAATATACAGGGTGTTCCATTTAAATCAAACAATTTATTGCTGTTTAAAGCTAGTAATTATTTAAAATAAATTTTTAGACACTCTGTATAAGGTAATAAAGTTTTTATTGTTGCAACACAATAACTGATCAATAAATAAACTTCAGTAAATATTTAGTATTAGAAACTTTGATACCCTCGGAAAAATGAAGCCTTAAAATTTATACTGCAATTTCACAAAATTGAAAATATTTCAAAAACGGTAAGGTTTAAGTTTAATAAACCTTAATCAAATTTACCTTTATTTTAATCGTAGAAACTAAAAATGCAATAATATACAGGGTGTTCCATTTAAAAAAATACAACTTTGACATTTTTTATTTATTTGGGACACTCTGTATCTTGTAAAAATATTTTTAAATTGTAGCTCTAATAGTCCTTCAACGAACCCAAAACTTACAATTTGTAAAAATCTAGTCGTTTAGCTACAATACTTCGTGTCGTATGTGGTGAACAACCCTGTATATGACATTCGGACAATTTAATTTTTGTCTTAATGTCTTCTCTTTATGGTACAGTGGCTGTGGCAATCACTAAATTTGACGTTTAGGCTATATACATATTTTTGACAGGCAGTTTTTTTCCTCCAAAAATTAGAAATATTTTTTTTTTCTCAAAAACGGTTAATGTTAGGTATAGAGTGTTTAATATGAAAATTCATAAAACTGTACAGAGAATTTAAGTATATAATAAAAAATGGAGGCACCCAATTAAAATAAGAAAATTGCTGTCAACTTGCGGTATTTCCGGAAGTGCCGCCATATTGAAAATATTTTTAATCGATAGTTCTAGTTGTAAAACAAAAAATCTCCTATCTAGATATTGTGATTGTCTAGAAACTTCTAATGCACGCTCAGCCTGGCACACCCTGTATATCTAGTAAAAATATACATACAGGGAATGAACCTGATAACCACCGCCAGGAAAATAACTTGAGAAGTCTATTTAATTGCGTCATTTTTTTTCAAAAGCACGGCCAGTATTTTAATTATATTAATGCTTTACCGCGTGGTTCTAAACAGTCGTTTTAGGTGTACTTTGTGTACAAGCAGTAAACTTTCCGGCAACTCTGGCCTAGTTAATATACCTGTGTATTAATATAAGTAAGTCCCGAAAGTACCCTTGAAGATCTACATTGCATCATATCTGAGTTTATTTTGATAACATGTTTTTAGTTTGATAGGTGTTCACATTTTCATTAAAGTTTTCCTGATTTTCAAAGTCCTGTAATTAGTAAACCTACAAAACATTTTAGATGTTAGATAATATAGTAACATTATACACAATATCATCTTGAACTGATATCGAGTAATACAGCATTTTTTTAAACAATATATCGCGATATTCTCACAATATGTAGCACAAAAAATTATTGCAGAGTGAGATTTTTTATTTGTGTTTAATCTGTGGTAGTGTCGTGTCGTGCCGTGTTCATTGTGTCATTAGTGATGTATGGTATTCAGTGACGGTCTCAAAAAAATTGGTTTTCTCTCGGTGATGGATATTTTTTTTAGAAGGAATCCTTAAAAAATACTTTAATAAAATGTGGAAAATATTGTGAAAAGATGCTCTCAATTTTTGAATTTTTGTTCTTTAAGCTTTTCATTATTTTATGCAATTTTTTATAGCTAGCTTGTATTATTTGTAATATACAAAATAAATTTTACAAAAATAAGCTTTTTGCAATTTATTATTTATGTTATTAAAGGAAGTGTTCTATTACAATGCATGTGGGCAATTTTTTTGAATCCGTCTCTGATTAGTACGGGTACCTTTTTTGTTGTAAGGCAAATTAGGTGTTTTAATTAGTGACAATGAACATAATATAGTCTTAGTCCGAAATTTATATCATTTTGTGCCTATTTTCCAAAAAAAAAATTACAAAATTTGAGCCCTTCTTTGATTTCTATCAGGATTGTTATGCTGAAGAAAAAATTTCATATTTTCATGTTTTTTTTTAATTTTCTCTAAAACGGTATGGAAATTTGGAAAATTATAAACGGGATGAAACCATTTTAGAACAAACAAAAATTTTTAATGAATCATCTTTCTCGAAATGTTAAGAATAAAAGAGTTTTTCCTCTTGTAAAGACAATCCGGGGACACACTGTATATATTTAAAACAAAAAAAACATTTAAATACAATTTTCAGTTCTGAACAGAAGTAGATATAATTAAGTAATGCATAGTAAAAATAGATATTGATTTATTTTCATTGTCATCGAGGGAAAAAATTTTAGAATGTACCAGTTTTTTTTTCGTTATGATTTTGACCTGTTTTTTTAATATTTTTTTTGCTTTTGGCTTGCTTAACGCATACTAATATTTGGTTTAGCTGTATATGAGCTTCGTATTATTAATTCGCCAGTGTCGGGTATTAGGGTTTTAAGAGTCTATTACGCTGTATTTTCGGGTTGCTTTCAAGGGTCGGGTAAAGCGGGTGGGTAACCGAAGGAAATATATATTAAATTTCAGAAATCAGCCCAAGGCTTAGCCCGAGCCTGTTGTGTTAAGCGAACCGGTCGTGTCAAGGTTCGCTTGTTTCGACCGCGGCACAAATATTAATTTCCTTGTCGGGAATCACCTTCTCTGCGCCTTCCTTATTGTCACAATTTCTGCACGCCGCAATGCAGCCTGTTTGCTCAAATTTATGGACAGTGTTGCGTACAGTTGTGGCACAAGGCACAGGGCGATCTTGAAAGGTGAACACAAATCGTCCAATGACCTCTTCCACACTTGAGGAAATGTAAAACCATTTAACGATATGCACCTTCTCTTCG